TCTTTCTTTCTTTCTTTCTTTCTTTCTTTCTTTCTTTCTTTCTTTCTTTCTTTCTTTCTTTCTTTCTTTCTTTCTTTCTTTCTTCCTTCCTTCCTTCCTTCCTTCCTTCCTTCCTTCCTTCCTTCCTTCCTTCCTTCCCTTCTTCCTTTCTTTCTATAAGTATATAAATATAAATATATATAATATATACACATATATATATATTAATATATAGAAGAGATAAATTATTTGGTCAAGCAGACCTGGGAAGAGACATGCACTCCCACACACATCTGGTGTGTTGTTATTGAAGCTTTACCCATGTATACTCAGTTAAATTCTGAAGGCTATGAAAATACCATGTTTTTCCCCTTATGGATTATTTTGTTGTAAGTCAACACAACATGTGCGTATTTCCTCAAATTTCCATCAGCCTTTAAAGCTGGGAGTTACCTCCTAAATCTCACTGCCCAATGTGGTGGATTTATTCCACCTCAGAACCAGGCAGCACTTTGGGTTATTGCAAAGCAAACTGTGTGCCTAAAATTCCCGTTTCTGCTTGGAGAGCATGGCAAGCTGGCAAATTCCAATGGAATATGGATTCTGTGCTGACCAGCTTGGAGAGGAGAAGGCTCCAGGGAGAACTCGGAACCCCTTCTAGTGCCTAAAGGGGCTCCAGGAGAGCTGGAGAGGGACTTGGGACAAGGGATGGAGGGACAGGACACAGGGAATGGCTTCCCACTGCCAGAGGGCAGGGATGGGTGGAATATTGGGAAGGAATTGGATGTGTTTATAAGGACCTGGACTTTCCCGAAATCAAAAGGTGGATTGAGCCCAGAAGCTGAGCAATTTGATTTTCAAGCCCCCCAATAACAAGTTTTGAGGTGCCTCCCACTATCCTGGGTCTCTCCCTCCACATTTGGAGCCCTGGAGTCTGTGCCCTGTGTATCCCTTCAGTGCTGGGAGAAAGGGGAAACCTCCAACCCAGTCCACACCTGGAGGCCCAAATGCCTCCTGAATTTTCCTGAATTCCTCCGTGGCACAGTCTCAGTTGGATAAATACTGGAGAAGCAGCCCCAAAAAACCCCCGCACCTCCAAGCTGTGTTCCCCATCCCTGGGATAACCCACAGGCACACAGCAAAAAAAGAGCCAGTCAGAGATTTTCCTGTTCAATATTTCATCTTGGGGAAGGGTGGAGAATATATTTGAGTCAAAACAAATTACAGATAAGTGTCTGATGTGTTTTAGGGTTTGTATTTTAGAAGGATAAAACTTGTTATGAATTTCTTCCCAGTTTCCGAGTTGACAGCCTTCACGAAAATATGTAAACTACTTTAATGAAAACCTCAGGCGTTGTTTTCTTGTTATTTTTCTTTTTTGAAGCTGCCTTTATCAGGAATAAACCACAGGTATTGAAAGCTGTGTGTTCTGCTCTTCTCTGTTTGTTTGGGAAGTGGAAAGCATTTAAATAAAGGAAAATGTGTGAGATTAGTTGCTCTTCTTAATCAGTAATTAAGATATGAACAATATCATTAATCTTCTATTTTTCGCTTTCCAGGTGATCAACATGTAATCTCCAGAGCTATGGCGGAGAAGTGCAGTTAAGGTACTGTGAAAATTCCCTTTTAATATGGGCATGTTTTTGCTGGAAATCATTCCCAAAATTCTCTCTTGAATAATTTGTAATAACCTGTATTTCTTGAGGCTGAGTTCACCTCTGGATGCTTTTCATTTGCCAATTTGTCCACTGCACTTCCTGAAAACGACATTATCTTTTTTCTCTCGTATTCATTAACTTTTGTTTTCCTGGTGTTAAATTCAGGAATGTTTTAGGATGTCTGTACAGACATATGAGAACCATGCTTCCATGATGAAGGTCATGTCTTTGAAATGAGTAACTCTGAAAATGGTGGTGGGGAAAGGATGGAAAATGTGTCCCTCAGGAATGCTGGCTGCTGCACACTCTGTGGCACTGAGAATATGTTGATTGGAATCACAAGATGGAAATCGGCTCAGCAGCTCTCCTGGACTACAGGGAAAAGAAGCTTGGTTTTGTTGGGAATGCACATCTCATGACCAGGATTATCTCCCTTCAACTTGTGTTTGAATTCTGGCTGGTATTTTGAATACAGAGTGGCAGGAAGGGAAGAGTAGGGGAAGGAAATGTGGCAGGTTCTTTTTTTCTGGGCACTGAACTTGGGTGCCAACATAAACTGCAGTGAAGAAAAAGTAATTTCTTTCCTAGGAAAAATTCAGATAAAGATTCAAAATTGATGAGCAATATGAAACAGTTGTTCTCAAATGTCAGGAACTAATTCTTGCCAAAGAAATTGTCACGGCAGGATTTCCATTCTGCTTCTACGTCCATCAGTTTAATGTTGCTGTCAAGGGAAGAAGCTGGAAAATCATCCTGCAATTCCAATTCTCCTTTTAGTTGGGATTTTTTGTTGCTGAGTCTGCATGATTTATTTGACTACAGCTTAGCAAAGCTCTTGGCTTTGTTAGCGTCTTCCTTTGGAGAAAGTGAACACATCACTTTTTCAATTATTATCTATGCTCCCGAGCAAAAACCTTTAATGCTTATTTCCATCTGGGAATAGAATGCATTCTGATGTGAGAGAATACTGGGCAAAAGGAGATCCTGGAAAGTCCACGCAGATCAGCTGATTCTTTAGGTCAGGTTTGGAAGAAAGAGTAATCCAGAAGGTCCTGAGTGAAGAGTGGGATAATAGGAAAAATACTGCTCAGCAGGTGATTTTATCTGAGTACCAGGCTGGTTCTTTTTGCTGAGACAGTGAACATCTCACACTACAGAGATGCAGGGGGCTTAAGCTCTCTGGATTTATAGGCAGCATTTATTCAGTGCAGTTCCCAGAGGAAATTATTATTGAAAGCAAGATGGTGCAGATTAATAGAGGAATTATAAGGAGCTAGCTAAGGCAGATAAGGAGCTTGGAAAAGAGGGGACTGGGACAGGATGAGGTGAGCTCCAGGTGCATGGCAGGAATCAGAAGCATTCCTGAGGGACAAGTTTCATGAAGAGCTCTCCCTAATACTTCTTTAGTGACCTTGGCCTTTGATGCAGGTTTTGAAACTCCTGTAATGCTGTGAAGGACACAAGAATTACACAAAATAATTTTGTTGACTTTGTGGATTAGTAGAATAAGTGCAGCATAAAATTTAATAATCATAAGCTATTGTGTTAGGGACTAAGAGCAGGGGGATGCTGCAAACAAAATAAGAGTTTTAGCGTATGGAAGTTCAGGGTTTTTTGGTTTTTTGTTTTTTGTTTTTTTGTTTTTTGTTTTTTGTTTTTTGTTTTAGGGAAAGTGTTTGATTGTAGCACATAGTTGAAGCTTTCACAACTCCAGAAATTGCCAGGACACCTGTTCCTTAAAGAGCTGTGATTTACTCTAAATAGTTCAGAGCCTAGGTATGTTATAAAGTGAGAATAAATAAAACTTTAGATCTGAACTTGATTCCATCCAGTATGAATCAATGCAGGTGTGAAGCCAACCTTGCCTGGGGAGTAGGAGGAAGGTGCCAGACTAGCAAGAAGTGGGTTATTGTAGCAGCCTTGGAACTGATTTTCGTAGAACCAGCCCATCTGCCTCCTCCCCTCAAAAATTCCCCAAACAAACCAAAAAATGGAACCAAGCCAGAGTGGATGTCGGGCTCTAAGTGAGCAGTCCTGTTCCACGAGGTAGGAAACCTCCATTAGGGGAGGGGAACTGCAGCAGCTCAGCCACTGGGACAGAGCTGGAGGCAGAGCCCTCCCAAGGGGAACTCAGAGGGAGCTCTTCTAGTTCCATGCCCCTGCCATCTTCCACACTCTCAGGCCTTGGGTCCCGGGTCCCAAGCCCCATCCAACCTGGCCTTGGACATTTCCAGGGATGGGAAATTCTAGCACAACCCCACCTGCAGAGCAGCATCCCCAGACTGATACCAAGATGATAGTTAAAAGGAGCAAATGAACTCCAAAATGGGTCCTCATCAGTGAAACAGGAGTAGATCATCATGAGTGTGCTGTGCTCTGTGTCCAACCCTCTGAGGATTTGAGATTAAAGCCAAAAGGATGAGAAAGAAAAGGAATGCTCTACAAATCAGTGAAAAAATTGGTCAAAGGATAGGAAACAGAAGGTTGGAGTAACTGAGCAGTTTTCTGAGTGAGAGGAAGTTAGCAGCGCCGTCTCCAAGGAATCTGCATAAACCTGTGATACTCAACTGATAAATGAGCTGCAAAAGACATGGGGTGTGCTGCCGGTGCTTCCTCCAGAGCACTGGAGCTGAGTGCTGACTGTGGAAAACTGCAGCAGGATTGAATTAACTGCTGGGCAAGGTAGTGGCAGGTGAAATCCTCCAGAGGGAGATGCAAAGGGAAGAAGACAAAAATTCCACCCACGGGTGATGAGTGCTGAGCTGGGCATTGTCACTCACCTGCTAAGAGCCATAAAGTACAAAAGATTCCTGTAGCAGAATCATCATCAAAGAATCACCCCAGAATGGCCTGGGCTGGAAAGGACTTCAAAGCCCATCCCATTCCAACCCCCTGGCATGGGCAGGGACACCTCCCACTATATCAGGTTGCTCCAAGGTCCATGCAACCTGGCTTGGAACCCTTCCTGGGATCCAGAGGCCACCACAGCTTCTCTGGGCAACCTGTTCCATAATAGCTTTAGTTCTGCAAGTTTCATAGCAGGGCCTGAAAAATAGGAATACTTTTTTTAAGGAAGCGAGTGAGCTGCAAGTCTTTGGAGTCAGCTGGAAGTTTAGGGAAATTGTCCCATGGGATGAGTATCTCTGTTCTTCCTTAGGGACTGTGCCTGTCGGGGAGGGATTTCTGGGTTTGATGGACTCCCCTGTGAAGGGGCTGTTTGTAGCTTGTCCTGGGGCTTAAAATGGGAGGAGCAAAGAACCACTGGTGATGGAGCTCCTAAAAAATCCCACTCTGCTGGAAGGGGTTTCAGGCCGTGTCTGGCGAGTAGACCAGTTTGTCCAGTTGTCCAAGGCTCACTCATGTGTGTGTGTTTGAGTTGGTTGTCATCAGATGAGGGTCTATTCAAACTTGGAGAGTGGAGAGAAGGATGAGGCATGGCCTGGTGTGCCTCCCTCCCTCCTCCCTGGGACAGAACTGATCAGGATCCATTTCCTTTCCTAGCAAAGTAGAGATGTTCAAATTTTAACAATACATTGAGGGTTCAAATATTATCAAAGGAATAGAAGCTGATAATCCAGCTGGAAAGGCATGTGAGCTAAAGTGTGTCCTGAGTGTGTTTAAACTGGAAATTGGGAAAAGCACCGTTAACCAGGGAGACAAGTGGAATTCCCAAAGGGCTTTCCAAACAGAGCTGGAACACAAACCCAGGTTTTTCAAGTAGGATTTTAGGGAAAGGGTGAGATTTCTGAGTGCCGGCCCACCTGCAGTTCTTAGGAATAGCTCCCAGGAATGAGAGCTGGGCCCACAGTTTGTGGGTGTCCCCAAGCTTTAAAGGAGAAAACCTGAGGGATCTGTCAGTTGTATTTGCTCCTTCCCAGAAATGCCATTGTTGATTATTCCTCTCCCCTGGGACTCCACAGGAATCCAGGAAGACCTTTTTGATTTGATGATTGCTTGATTTCTGGGATGTTTCCCTTCTTCCATAACCAGACGGATCTGATAAGGTCTTAGGTATGTTTTCATGGGATGTATTCAGTGTCAATCATACCCTCACGTCCTCCACTTTTCCCCTCCTATTCTATAATTTTGGAGCCTTTCCAGCTCATGTCGTAAAGATCATAATGTGATAATGGCTGCACTGTCAGTGGGAGCTTGAGAACAAATGACTCTCACCCAGAGCATGCTGAGCCTTCCTGCTGCTATGTGGGCATCCCCACATGGATGAATCCTTCTCTCACAGGACTGGATGGTGACACTTGGATGCAGCAGGATGGATTTTTGTTCAGGACACTGAGGTTAGAACTGTTAAGATCTAAAATATTTGGAGCCATACACAGTAGAGATGCTGGGAGTCTCCAGTCCCATTCTAAAGTGCCATTCTAAGTCCATTCTAAAGTGCCATTTTAAAGCATCTTCATTATAGAAATAATCTGATAGAGACTTCTGACTCTTGTAAAGAGTTGGATGAAAGAATAAAAGAGGCAGATTAAAAGAATGGAATGAACAGGAGATAGTCATGTGAACCAACACATTTTCATCAGCTTAGTTTTAATTGTTTTTTTTCTTTTTTTTAGTTTTCTTTCTTTTTTTCTTTTTTTGTTGTTGTTGTTGTTTTCCAACAACAATGAAAGGAAGCTGTAACATTGTGGGGATTTAAAAAACAAACAGAAAACTGTGCATGTAATAAATGGAAAATGGTGTCACTGTTACATCTAACAGGGCCCATTAAGGACAGATGTTCCCAGAGAACAGATATCCATTAGAACGACGGAAAGGGGGATATTTTGAAAGGGAGCCAGAACCTACAGATGGAAACTTTAAAAAAATAAAAATCAACTTGTAAGTAGCCAGTATAAATAATGCAGAGGATGTGTAACATGTTCTGGATTGCTCAGAGCAGCAGACAGACAGTCCCTGCATTCCCAATGCGTTGGAAGGGATGAAGCAGC